CCACAACAACGCTTTGAATGACTTTGTGCTTCTGCAGATGTAGGTTGCCCGTCTGCTTTGTATCTTTCTGGGTCCCGTAGTACACAGTGAATACGTAGTAAGACTTGTGTATTCCTCTTCAGTTAAATACAGACCTGTCAAACATTCGCAGGTCAGTATTGCATAGCCAGGTAATTGTAACTAAGAACTTCCCTGCTCCGTTTGTCATTTTGTTGATAATTTTTCACTAAAAAGAAACTGAGAACTCTTTGGGTTTTTGTTTGTTTTTTTACACTCGAGTGCGGAAAGCACCAAATCTTCTTTGGTGTTGCTTCTGGAGCACAGGGTTGTCTTGCAGTTCAGCAGTTACAACTTGTGGCCTTTCTGGATTGTGACCTTTCTGTAATGTTTTTGATGACAATCCTGTTCCGTCAGAAATGCTTTGCAGTTTCTGCTTTCAAAGCTCAATCATGGGATTCATTTCGAAGTGTAAATATGTGTTTTTTAAAGGAAAACAGTAAGAAAAGGAATGCCTGAATTTTAGAGCATAAGTTTAAATGTTAATTTGTAATTAAGGTGAGCAGAGCAGCAGTAGCTGCTAAAGTTACGTTTCTTCTTTAGTTACTGCTCATTCTACTGCTTTTAAAACTCATCTCAAAATAACTGGCATGGACTTTTTTCCCTTAACAAAAGTTTTGCAATCAAATATCTGTTCATATGTGATTGGAATAACATGGTTGCTGTTAATGGCTCACAAGACCTTTAGGAAATTTTTATGTTCACATTGAAACATCAAGGTAATTTGGGTATGCGGTGTGTTAATCACCAGCATTAACATTGCCATGAAAGTCAAAGCTCATGTTTTATACGTTGTCTGAAGAATGGTCCCTCAAGCAGCATTTCCCCATAACACTGCCCTGGCTTGTTAATGTCATATTGTGGTGAAGTTGTCATAGTGCGGAAAGTGAAGCAGTTCTTTAGGTGCTAGTTTCGCCTAAATTTTGATGACTGAGATCCCAGTAGTTTTAGATGCACAGAAGGGTTCTGGTAGGTGAGTTCATTCATTTCAGGTTATTTTTGTAAACCCTGGTAAGTTATGTTGCCTGTGACATGAAGCACTGGTCAAGACTTGTTCTAGAAGAGTAATGGGTGACAATATCCTGATTTTCAGTTTTATTTCTATAATGGATGTATTTTAGCCTAATTCTAAATATGCAGTGTCACCCAAGCAGTGAGCACCCCGAAAGTTTTCACATGACCTAGGAGCAGCATGAATTGTTACACATGTTCCTGTGTAAAGTGGTAATATACCACCCGCATTGACTTGTGTCTCTCTGAATCTGTGTAAGCAGTGACTACCAAAGGTAAAAAGAAGATGGTGTAGTGATGGACTGCTCCTGAAATGTCTGTAGGTGAGACTATTCATCGGCATGCAGGGATTGAAACCCATTTCCATTAAAATCAGTGATAATACTAGTTTTGAGCATTCATCAAAAAACAGATATGAAGTTGGTAACTCCTGTTAGCAGCTTGGTTTCAATTTGTTCTGCACTCTTGACAACTCGGGTATTAGGCTGACTTACATCTGTATTAAGTAGAGTTCTCTCTTTGCATTGTTCAACTGTAAAGGGGCATGTCAATGAAGTGACACTTACCTCCAGAGAACTTGCATTTTGCATAACCTAATGCAGGTCACTGGCTACAGCAGTAGTCACTTGACCCTTGTAATCGTTCAGGTGACAATCCAGCTCTGCTTATTCCAAATGGTAGGAAAAAAGTCAGTACCTAAATTTTAAATGACTGTTAGTTTTAAAGCGTTATTCTGCCATCGTAATATCTAAATATGTACCAGTAAATTTAAGGAAATTAGTTTGTCTCATCATAAGAAGTTAGAAGCCAAGAATTTTCTTAAACCTAGTATGTTGGAACAAAGATGGTGGAGTTAGGAATGCCATATTTTGCAAGCTCAGCACTGACAAAGAAAGAATAAAAACTCAGTAAAAATTTTGTGCTGACCAAAGACCCTTCGAGATAATTTTACTTTTTATTACTAATGCTGTTGATGACATCAAATCATCTATCTTTAGTTGGTATACAGGAATCAGGAATCAAACAGTGAAAATATTTAGTGAGGCCTGCTTCTCTCTGCCAGGTGTACCACAGGACACAAACAGCTACAGTGACAGTTGATTTCGATTTTAAATTTTATTAGTTTCAAGACCTTCCTCAAGATGCAGCATTTCCATGTGATACACTGGGGGTGTGGTTTGTTCATCTTTCCTCTTTTCCACACTTTTCACGTTTCTTTCCTTGCTTTGAGTGGCTTTCAGTCTGAGGGTCTGGTCCTAAGTTGACAGAAGTTTGCTCTTGAACGAAAACAACCCAGGTAGTAACAGAAAAGTTCAGATGTAGAAGTGGAAGTTCTTTATTGTTTCCAAATGTGACTTTTCTGACAGATGTGGCAAGATGAAAAACTGTTCAAGATAAATATTTGTTACCCCTCATAGATGGAACAAGTCATCACCATCAGTTACTGCATTGTTTCTCCTTCTTTGCTACAGATGTCCACACTCTGGGCATTTCTTTCCTTACACTAAGTGGCTTTCAACTTAAGAGTTTGGAATCATCCAGTTCCTGAACAAGAACTGAAGTCTGACTTTTTGTTTGGGATTTTTTAACCTTACCAACTGTAAGGTACCACAGCTTCGGTGGTCGTTTGAGACGGGTCCTGAAAATCAAGATGATGGTTAATATTGTATGGGATGCATGAGGTAGTAAGATCTTTTCTGTATTAAATGCATGTCTTGTGCTAATACTGTATGAGTGCATTCACACTGGCCCAAAAAAATTACAAACTAGAACCATATGAGAAATGAGAAACCTTTAATATGTAATACTGTGTTCTGCTTTTTATCTCCAAGGTCTCAGTGCTTCAGTTTAGAGTTTATATTTGCTTTTCTATCTAATGGATTTGCTTTATAATTTAGGAACTATTTTCTGCCCCCTCCCCCCCTAAATTTCTATGTTAACCTGGCACAATCAGACTGTTTATTTATGTTATTTCCATCGCTTAAATAAAGGCCTGGACGCTTACTTTGTGTCATCTCTAGAGTGTCTTTGTTTCACTGCCTGGAACATAGTAACCAGGTCGCATAATACACAAGGTAGGACAGACTCTGATCCATTTTCCTCTGAGCTTGCTTAGCTCTGCAGAATCAATAGGATAAGTGGCACAGCTGCTCTCAGAAAATAAATGAGCAAAAATGTGATCCTTCTCTAGTAAGTTTTCAGGATGGAGTAAGCCAAAATGATCAAGTACTATGACGTAATTTTAGACTTCTGAGTTTTATAGCTGCAATATCACTGTGTCAGGACTTTATACCTCAATTCAGATGTGCATATTTAGACAACCAGCATATATATGAAATGTTAATAAATAGCTGAGCATTTGTAGGGTGGCAGTCACTTTTGTCCTTCACGCGGCTAAGGTGCTGTAAGTATTGTGACAATACAACTAATGTTCTGCAGCCAGTGAATGTGCCTGGAGTTTGGGGCTGCGCTGTTCACTGCTGGTCTCAGTCTTGCCTGGTGGTCTTCCCCGCTGCTCTTCAGGCACCCGGCTGATACAAGCAGTGGAGTTCTGACTTGCAGTGTTTCAGGACCACCAGCTTCATGGTACACTCATCAGAGATCTTGAACTTCCATTGATGTTTTTCAACCAGCATTTTTTTTTTTCTCCTGTGACATCAGACAACTGAAAGCAGCAATTTGAAAAAATTAGGCCACTCAGGTTTCTATATATAGCAGCTCTCAGATCCCAAGAAAGCCAGTACTCTTATCTAGTCTGTTTTTAGCTGTCAGTGTTTGTAAATTAATCTTAACAGGGTTGGTCTTCAGTAGAATTTTAGGTGCTGTCATGTTTTTTTCCTTCTGCTTGTGATTTCTAGCTTTTTTTTTCTCTCTGGCATTTTTATTTCAATTAAAAATAGTTGTCTTTTTCAGCCTCTTTGCTTTTTGTCTTTATAGTAATGAGTTGACCTTCAGCAAAGGGAATTGTGGTCATCACATTACTGAGAAGCACCTGACTTGCATCAGTGTCAGGCTGGTTTGGTGTCAGGCAGGGGGACTAGTTTCAGCTTTAGAGTTCTGTGCACACCATTTCTTGTAAATTAAACGTGAGGATCTCCATATATTGGAGTGATTGTTTTCACTGATGGGGAGGGGATTAAAGAAAGAGTCAATGACTGATAGGGTAGGAAAGGCACAGTGTAACTGTATCGCAGAAGTTAGAGGAGTTTATGAAGTTAGCTGTTTCTGTTTTGTATGTTTACTCATAAAGTAACATTGTTTGGCTTCTTTTCTACACAACATTAAAAGTAGGGCAAGAAATAGTTTTCAGAGAGGCTTTATGAGTATAGTTTTATTCATTTGATTTTGGTGACGCCCCCACCCTCCAGAAAATACTGGTTTATTTCTCTTCCAAATATGCCACCTGAATATTCACAGATGTGAAAGTAGAGAGCAGACAGCAAAAAGCTATAGTTCCACTTTGCTGAGAAGTGGTGGAACAGGTTACCTTACACATGAGTTACAACCATCCTCTCATCCTGCTGGCCTGAGGAAAGCGTGAGACCTAAAAGATTCTTCTGTAACGGGAGATCATAGCATGGAGGAGAAAGGAGTCACTGATCTACTTTATTCGCATTCTTCATATTTTATGCTGCTGGTTGGAAAAAAAATAGTGCTTTCCGTATGCATGGAGCAATACAGTTTGCATTCATGAGGGTGGAATAGGGAACATACTTGAGAATCTTGCATTTAACTTAAGCTTTATCTGATTTGCTGTGTGCTGCTTAATTCGTTTGTATATGTAAGCTATTTTCACTCACAAGTGATTGAAATGACCAAAGGAGGGATTTGAGACCAACAGCTGTGTACACAGAACACGTCTTTCTCTGTGGTGATAGGCTTGCCGTGTGCCGAGAGGCAGGTGCCCCAGTCCGTGCCTCGGTCCAGCCGCCATGCGGTGGGGTTCGTGCCAGCTCCCAGCCCCTCGCATGCATGGAGAATCCTGTCTCCACCTGTGCGGCTCTGGGGGTCAGCCGGGGGAGCAGCTCTCTGAACACTTCTTGCGCTGGAAGGCTGGCAAGTAATTATTACTAGAAAATCAGAGATCTTTAGTTAAAATGTATTTGAGATCAAAAATACTGCTATGAGGTTGCTGGTGGCTACACTTTAAAATCTCTGAAAGCTTAACCGTATCTCACTTAAGGATGCTCAAAAGCTAGTGTTGCACGTTTGCAGGTTTTTTTAAATCTGCTCATTATTGGGTCTGCGTTTGGATTTTTCCAATGTTATTCCTAAATCTTTGTGTTTGGTGGAATCTGAGCCTGTAACCTGACCACAGAATTACAGATCTTAAATTTTCAGTTGAATAAACTTCTGATTTTTGGCACAGATTAATACCTGTAGCTTTTGTCTGTCTATTTAATGAGCCAGTCTTAACTACATACTGTCTGTTGCTGACACAGAAGGTCAGAGCCTGTATCAGTCTGCCTTGGCGCTTTTTCTCTTGCACGTAAGCATGGTGAGCATTATGGTGTCTAAGTGAAGTTGATGTGGCAGGCATCTCCCACGTATGGTGCAGTGTCACTGAAAATGCGTCTTGGGAATGCTTATTGGAGTGGCTACTAGCACACAGTCATTTTCTATGTACTGGGCAACCTTCCCTCGAAAGATGCCTGATTGTTCTTTCATGAGTAGTTTGCAGTGTGTACCTAATAGCATTGTTTCCTGTAACTGTTTTAGGTGACCTCCCTTGTCAAGAGACAGATCAGTTTTTTAGTCACTGAATGAAGCTTGAAGAATTATGCTGTTAAATCATATGCAGAAAGCTAGAAGACTGTAGCTTGTGCAGTACAGCTTCTGTGCTTGTATCCAGGAGGAGTGGTTTTACGTGGTGTATCAGTAAACTTCTCTCTTTCAGGCCACTGTCATGAGAAAAACCCAGATGGCAGTCATGACAAGGAGAAATACTTTGATGACCACCGTGAGTCAGTTGCAGCAGTAGCAGAAGGACAGTCTGAGGGAGGTACAGAAGATCCAGAAGTCCTCACTCAGAGTTCAGCAAGAGATCCCTCCTTCCTGAGACTGGAAAGTAAGTCAGCCTTACAAAATCAGTGCTGGCAAATGAATTGGTTTCTAGATTTTTCAGAAGAGCTGTCTTCCTTCCTCCAAGAAGCTACATTTTCTCCCCCTTTGTCTGTACAGTGACAAGTAACCCTTAAAACTGGTTTCATGCTGTTCACTGCTTTTCTCCGAGTCTAAAGTCAAAATGCATTAAATCAAAAAATGAGATCAAAGTTTAGATGCTTTCGAAGCTAGAGGATGTAGTTTCTTGCAAGACTCTACAAAAAAATGTTGATTGTACCTCACTGAGTTCTGTATCATCTGTGCCAGACAGAAGGGAAGAAAAACAGTGTGTGTGTGTCTATTGTGAAGGTCCAGAGTGCTTTATTGAGTGTTTAATGCACATTTGTTTACTCCCTCAAACAGGCAGAATTCTGGTTTGGAAAGGAAACTGATGAAAGTGGTCCAGAGGTGTTGATTTTTGAAGCAACAGTTGATGCTTCTTTGCAGTGGGGAAGTCTGCGTTCTCCAGTCCCCCTCTCCATTAGCAGCATGCAATGAGTAGTCAGTGATATTTGTTTTTTTCAAGTGGAAAAATCAGGTTACAGAAAAAAAAATTCTTTTTATACTCTTTGTGGAAGCAGCAGGAGGAGAATTTTTGAAGTTTTTGTGGTATTCCCTCTTAGACACGGTCACTGCAGAAAGCAACGGTTCAGAAGGAATGGAAGGGTTAGAAGACGATCAGATGTCTGAAGAGATGCTGGCTTTGGTGGATGAGTTTGAAAGCTCTTGGCCTCAGGAAGCTTTTGAAGGGGCACTGGAGGTAAAAGGTCGTCGGATGGACTTACAGGGAATCCGGGTCCTAAAGAAAGGATCTCAGGATGGACTGGCTAGCTCCTGTTTTGGGGACTGTGGCGATGATGATGAAGCTGAATGGGTAAGTTTGGATGAGTGTGCTGAAGTCTGCTGTTGTGGAGGTGGGAAAGATGGGGGTTCAAGGGGTTTAACACTGGAATATGTATAGGAACTTCCCCTGTGGGCCTAGAAGAGCTGGTTTATGGCTTGTGTGAAATGAACAAGTAGTTTCAATCTGTCTTCTAAAGGAAAGGCCTCTGCATCACTAAAACTGGCATCATTTAGTCTGGAGAAAAGGAGGCTGAGGGGTGACCTTATTGCTCTCTACAAATACCTGAAAGGAAATTGTAGCGAGGTGGGTGTTGGTGTCTTCTTCCAAGTAACAAGTGATCGGATGAGAGGAAACAGCCTCAAGTTGTGCCAGGGGAGGTTTAGCTTCGATGTTAGGAAAAAATGCTTCACTGAAAGGGTTATCAAGCATTGGAACAGGCTGCCCAGAGAAGTGGTTGAGTCACCATCGCTGAAGGTATATGTGGCACTTAGGGACATGACATGGTTTAATGGTTGACTTTGCAGTGTTAGGTTTATGGTTGGACTTGATCTTAAAGGTCTTACAACCCAAATAATTCTGTGATTGTGAGTCTTGATTATCAGCAGCAAGAGCTTAAGTGTTAAATGATGCTGGGTGCCCTCAAACTTCTTGCTCGCAGTTACAAAGGAGAAAAGTTTATAACCAAGTGTTCCACTTAGCATGAAAACAATGAAACATGTTGTTGTATATGTGGCTGATACACCAGAAGGCTGTGCTGCCATTCAGCGAGATCTGGACAGGCTGGAGAGATGGGTGCAGAGGAATCTCATGAAGTTCAACAAGGGCAAGTGCAGAGTCCTGCACCTGGGAAGGAACAACCCCATGCACCAGTATAGGCCAGGTGCTGAACTGCTGGAGAGCAGCTCTGTGGAGAGGGACCTGGGATTGCGGGTGGACAACAAGTTGACCATGAGCCAGCAGTGTGCCCTTGTTGCAAGAAGGCCAGTGGTGTCCTGGAGTGCATTAAGAAGAGTGTGGTCAGCAGGTCGAGGGAGGTTCTCCTCCCCCCCTGCTCTACCCTAGTGACGCTCCATCTGGAAGCCTGCATCCAGTTCTGCGCTCCCCAGTTCAAGAAAGAGGAGGAGCTACTGGAGAGAATCCAGAGGAGGGTATGAAGATGATGAGGGGACCAGAGCATCTGTCCTACGAGGAAAGGCTGAGGGAGCTGGACTGGTTTAGCCTGGAGAAGGCTGAGAGGGATCTTATAAATCTTAAGGGTGGGTGTCAGGAGGATGGGGCCAAGCTCTTTTCAGTAGTGCCCAGCGACAGGACAAGGGGCAACGGGCACAAACTGAAGCATAGGAAGTTCCGTCTGAACATGAGGAAGAACTACTTTACTTTGAGGGTGACGGAGCCCTGAAACAGGCTGCCCAGGGAGGTTGTGAAGTCTCCTTCTCTGGAGACATTCAAGACCTGCCTGGACAAGGTCCTGTGCAGCCTGCTCTAGGTGACCTTACTTTCGTGATCCCAGAGGTCCCTTCCAGCGCCTACCATTCTGTGAAATTTCTGTTGTTGTCATATTACAAACAAAATATAGAATGAAAAATGCCTTTCTGTTCTCTGGCAGTTAAACTGGTTTTCTCTTATGTTGGAGATTGATGTTGTGTACTTTGTTTGCATAGTGTGATGCAGTTAAAGTAAGCAGGCTTAGAGACTGGGTTGAGATGGGAAGGGAGGGGTGAGAGACAAAGATCTCAGCTGTAACATCTTTGAAATTGAATCTTTGGGCTAAAACAAGTAGTGTATTGGAAGCTGAGAACATTCATGGTGTTTCCTACTCTTACCCTTGCCAATACTGTTCTTTTGGTAGATCACTTTTCAGGTCAAACGTTTAAAGAAACCAAAAGCTGAAAGCTTGGATCTCCAGGAGCCAGTTGGGAGAAACGGGGAAGAAGGGAATAATGGAGAAAATGAAAACTTTTACCAAACTGCCCTGGAGATCAGTGGACCAAAGATTCCTTCTCCTGGACCAATAGGTAACCTGCTGCTTCTAAAGAAAGCAAGTTGTTTGCCGCTTTTGTATTACTCTGGTTGATTTCCTCTGCAGCTTTTATATTACACTTGTTTATTACCTTGTATATGCATCACAGACTACGTAGTGAAATATGCCTTCTAGATAAGTATGTGCAAAAATCTGAGATCTCTTCCATCTGTACCTTCTTCACAAAGTGCAGCATAACTTTGTCTGCTGAATGAAAACTTTCTAGTTAATTACTAGAACTTCTGGGGATGAGGTGGTAAGAGTGGAGAATGAAGGAGGTAGGTATTGTGAGTAGAAGTAGTAAGAGAGAGAGGAGGTTTTAATAATCTTTCTTAAACTAACTTCTCTGCCCATTCAGTTTTAATCAGATGAGAGACACCTCTTAGGAAATAGATCCAGAATGAGAGCTTGAATTGATTACTGACTAAACATAGACACACAACTCAAAAACAAAAGGCAGAAACCTTGTTCTAATTAAAAAAAAAAAGTAAATCAAGTGTTGTGCTGTAATTGGCATGGTGATATTAGAAGAGAAAACTTAAGAGACTGTCTTCCAGAAGACTGGAGTTACAGAAGAGTAGAGTTTTGCACCGATGTAGATGAGGCAGTTCGGAGAGAGAGGTGGAGTTTTTGCTAGTTGAATAACAGGAATTGGAGAGTGGTCTATTATTATGGTGCAAGCTAGTTCCACTGGTGTGTTCAGGTGGACAGAAATCATCAGCACATGATTGCTTGGGATGAAGTTTGGAGCTGCTGAAACCTAATGATGCCAAAGAAGAGAGCCAAAGTAATTGGCCGCCGTACTTTTTGTCTTGTCTTTGTTTCAGTGGAGGTAGAATCTTTGCCATACAGCTGATGTGTAAGCAAAGATGGGTTCTCCAATACATTTTAGTCCTTGACAATTTGGTGACCTAGAAAGTGATTTCACATTTTCAAGGCTCTTACATTAAATCTTTAACAAGCTCCTTTTTTAGAAACTGGCAAATGTAAGTTATTGAATTAAGTATTTAAGCAGGGGAGAGGGATTACATGAAAACAGAGTATCATTTATGAGCACACACCTGACCTTTCCTTGATATATCTTCTCTCACCTGAGCTGCTTCTGTGTCTGCTTTACATAGCATCCCTCGATCATAAGCTAGTTATCTTCCTAACGCTCCTGTGAGGCAGGGTCCACTGAAGAACTAAATTGTCAAAAGTGCAAGTAACATATTGGAGGTCACCTGGAGAGTTCCTGGTACAACAGGGAGATGACACTGGCTGTTCTGTGTTTCACTTCCTCTCTGACTACTGAACTATCTCTGTGTAGCATTTCCATACCTGTTGCTATCTTTCGTCGTTCGTGCAAAGAAGAATTCACAGTCAGATAGTTCACAGTGGTGGTGATTAGAACTTATCATTCCTCTCTGAAGTTTCTTGAAATTAATTTTCCTTTAATCAGAATGCTTTACAAAAGACATGGTATTACAGACTTCATTGTTATTTTGCAAAATTATGGTGAAGCATTTTACTATACTTTGGATGGGAAATAGGATTTGCATCCAAATGGGCAGAATTTTGGGTAAGTAGAAGTAAATACAGAAATACAGCCTATGTAGCTGATGTGCTAGACTGGCATGTTGTTAAATTTGGCTTCCCAGTGTGCAAATTTATGGCTACAATGAATTTTTCTTATGTTCCAAACAATTAGGATGTTTCTGATATGAGAGGAAAATGTTTCCTAACAGTTAACACAAGCTGGATTCCTAGGACTTGGTACAGTATCCACCAAATGTAAGGGACAGATTTCAGTAGGCTTTGGTTCAAATGTGAAGATCAGGTTCTTGTTTGTTCCAGTGATGTAGCTGTTAACATAAAGCAAGTTATTTACCCTTTCTCTGCCTCAGTTAACTTCTCTGCAAAATGGAGGGCTGAAGTGTAATTGCTTACTGGTTTCAGAAGTGTTGCTATCTTGAGTGGAAGAATGCGGTGAAAGCCACTGCCTGTCCTAAACAATATTCATTGAAAAGAAACGGCAGCATTTTTCACCTGGGATTGTCAGAAGATGGAGCAATCAACTTTTATTGGTTCTTACTGTAGCTGTAGAACATAAATGATGACTCACATAGAAACTTTCTTTAAGGACATCTAAGTAGACACATTACCTCTAAACAAGAGTGGTGATTGTTCTTAACGTGTAACTATTGAAAAGTGTAACGAAACGGGTATTAAAACTCCACCTCCTAATCTGTCTTGCGTAGGATCCAGTTCTGTCTTTGGGTCCCACAAGTTCCATTCAGTCTGTTTAGGTTCAGGAATAAGAACCAGCTGCAGGACCATGACTTTTATAACTCAGAGAATGTATCCACTGGTATAAAGTATTTTGTAAATCACTGTACTGAAGTGGAAAGTCTTTCTGCTTCCAGACAATTTCTTCTAATTTTTTTTTTTCTCCTTTCTCAAGGAAAAAGGCGTGACTATCGTAGCCTTGGCTGGCCAAGTCCTGATGAATGCCTGAAACTCCGTAGGGTAGAGCTGACAACTGTAGCCAGCACATGGCTTGCTGTTTCTGCTAAAAACATTGAGTAAGTATCTTGTATGTGAACCTTAAATAAGTTACTCACACGAAGCAAGACAGTTACATGGCCTTCAGTGTGTGTAAACTGAAGATCTTCGTATTCTTTAGAGTAAGAAAGACATGTCAGGATTTCAAAGAAGTTTCAAAACATTATGTGGTATGTTGTCAATAGACTTCATAGAATCATAGAAAGTTTTGGGTTGGAAGGGACCCCTAGAGGTCATCTAGTCCAACCCCCCTGCAGCGAGCAGGGACACCACTAACTAGATCAGGTTGCTCAGAGCCCTGTCCAACCTGGTCTTGAATGTTTCCAGGGATGGGGCCTCCACTACCTCTCTGGGCAACCCGTTCCAGTGTTTCACAACCCTTATTGTAAAGAATTTCTTCCTTATATCCAGCCTAAACCTACCTTGTTTTAGTTTAAAACCATTACCCCTCGTCCTGTCACTGCTGTCTCTGCTAAAAAGGTTGTCCACATCTTTCCTATAGGCTCCCTTCAGGTACTGAAATGCTGCAATCAGGTCTCCCCGCAGCCTTCTCTTCTCCAGGCTGAACAAGCCCAACTCTCTCAGCCTGTCCTCATAGGAGAGGTGCTCCAGCCCTCGGATCATTTTTGTAGCCCTCCTTTGGATCCGCTCCAACAGTTCCATGTCCTTCTTGTGCTGAGGGCTCCAGAGCTTGCAATGAAAAGTGCAAGTGCAGACAGAAGATCCAGTTTCTCTTGTCTCTTGAGCCACTCAAATGAGATTCTGCCTAGTTCCGGGCAGTTTACACTCACTAGAGAACTTTGTAATGACTCTTCTGTTTTCTTCTCCTGACTGATTCAGCTTGTTTTATGACCCTTGTAGCATTACAGAACACATTGATTTTGCTACACAGCTGCAAGAACCAGCCATGGAGCCCCTTTGTAACCCAAATCTACCAGCCAGTATGCATACTTTGGACCACCTGCAAGGTGTCTCTAGTCGGGCCAGCTTGCATTACACTGGAGAAAGTCAACTGAAAGAGGTATGCCAGAGTTGAAAGCTGTCACACAAAAATGGCCGTACCATGGCTGATTCAAGGCACATGTATCTCCAGAAGTGACCTTCAGTGAGTGAATGACTGGATAAAACAATAAGAACAGCGCAAGCTGAAAGCGGTATTTTACCAGAATGTTTTTGCAGCCATCTATGATCTGGCCTGAGGGAAATCCTAAAACACCGTTAGTGTCTTTGTGTTTGTAGCTCTTAATGGATGAATCGGTGAAAGAAGAGTCCAACTTGAGCATACACAAACTTCTGCCATTCTTAGAATTGAGTGCCATGGAGTTAGAACACCATGTGATGATACAGATCATGTTAACTCAAGATAGACAGTGATGTTTAGGTTGGAACAGGTTTCAGCGTTTGTAAAAAAGCTGAGGGGAGAAAAGTAACCAACAAGTGAGGGACATCTCTTACCACGTTCCAGCATCTAAGCACTTGGTCTTCCTCTTTCGCAGGTGCTACAAAATCTTGGCAAAGACCAGTACTCACCACAGTCATTAGAACAAGTTGGGACTCGAATAGCCAAAGCTTTGGAAAAGGTATGTATAAAAATGAAAATTGAGAAGTCTGGGTTTTACCGCTCGTGACTGAGGTAGTGGTCAATCCAGTCTCGAGCCGTTTGTCTGAAATCCCATTCAAGGAACGTATTGGACTACAGATTTGTGTCTATTCACAATACGTATTCATAATATGTGATGCCCTCACAGGTGCTTTGTTGAGCTTATCCTGTGCTGACGGTGTCAAATGTCTTGTGTATCTCTCTGCTAAAACCTAAGCGTGTGAAATTTCCCAGTGATTCCAGCCCTGTAGTGAGCAGTGTTGCTGGTTGTTGAAATGTATTAAACTATTTCAACAGTTTTCAGCCCTGCTCTTTCTTTTTGTGCTACATTGACTTGGAGCTTATGGAAAGTTGAGTTAAGCCATGGTTCAGCTCTCCAGTCATGCTCCTGGCATGCAGCGCTCAGGTAGCTGACAGGCAGGGGCTTCCTCTCTTCTCTGCCGACTTCCTTTTACCTTGCGCAGCGCAGTGCTAGGCTTCAGCGTCAGATGCCTTCAGGCAGAGGTGTGGCACCATCAGCAGGGCTGCGCTTCCTGGTCTCCCCAGGGACAACCAAGCTTCTTAGATAGGTTAAGGCTGCTAAGGACCTTAGGAGGAGATGATTAGGGACATAATTTTCCCAGGCTATATGAGGTAGATGAGGATGCAGGGATTGTTGTTAGATGTTTACAGCTGGTGGGGAGGATATCCCAAACTATTATAGAAGAGAGGGCTCAGCCAAAACAGTTTGGTGCCCCTAGCCTATTCTGCCAAAAGTCAGCTGAGGAGCTTCCTGTGCTTTGACACTAAAGCCAATAAAACTTTGTCATTCCCAGAAAGTGAAGATGTTACTCTTATGCTCATGTTACAAGACTTAATTTCTTTTCACTTTTGATGTATACTAACTTTTTCTCTTACATGTTACATTTCCCCCTGCAGACAGCAAGCTGTATCCAAATAGGCTGAATATTTAGTGCTGAGACCAGAAACAGAATTCTCAGTAAGGCTAGCTGTGTTGGAAAGAAAACACAGTTCTTCTGTCTACCAGTCTCATTCAGTATTCACAAGAGCTAATCAAACAAATCAAGATGTCTACTTGTCTAATTGCATATGCGAGCATAAACATTCATTTACTGTATCTGAGTCCACAGAATTCAAGCACATAGTATTTTGCTTTCCAGCATGTGACATGGGAGTGAGCCAGCTAGAGGCACCAAACTTAATCAGCTAGGCTTGTCAGGCTTCTGCTCTGAGCTGCATCCCAGAGTGACTACAGAGCCTGCGACCCCAATCATCTAACTTAGCTATATTTTTTGCTTTACGTTGGGTAATGTGTATACACATCTGGATGCTCGGCATCAGACAGCTGGTTAGAAGCTGTTGTGGCTGCTGAAACTGTTGCTTCTGTTTAAAGCTGTTCAGCTGTGATTCCTTTCTTAAGAAAATTATGTCGCGTTTGGAATTTGTGTTTCGTTTGACAATAATTTTATTTACCTGGCTGTTGCACATATGTTGTTAGATAAGAAACTTTGCTGCTTTGAAATAGTTTAATGCTATTTTTAAGTGTAACACCCTCTAACTCAATATATCAAATAAATTGGAAGAGTGAAAGACAGGAAGACTGTTCACTGCAGGTGTTTACATGACTGGTTTTTCTGTTGTTCTTGTGCCAGAATCAGACTTCATGGGTCCTCTCTAGCATGGCAGCTCTTTACTGGAGGGTGAAAGGCCAAGGAAAGAAGGCAATTGATTGCTTACGACAAGCATTGCACTATGCACCCCATCACATGAAGGTGTGTACACGTGTGCCCTCTCCTCACAGGACATAATGTTTTTCTTGTCACACTAGAGCTTTCACAGACTATTGTTAAGGCAAACACTGTGTGTGTCAAGTGTCTGTAAGGTATTACATACTAGCTAGTTGTGGTGAAACCTCAAGATTTTCACCACCTGTTTAGTGTGGACTTTCTTTTTAAAAAATAATAATTAGAAAGACAGCTGTAAAAATTTCAGTGGTATTTCCTGCAGTTCAGTGGGTTTGACACCCCTCTGGGCAGTGTGGGCTTGAACTTTTGAACTTCCCCCTGTTATGTAGGACTTTGAATCTTCATCAGCCTTGGTCTGGACAAGTCTTCTGACGTAAGATGTAGGGAGTTTATCTTCTGGTTGTGCTTATAAAGAGGGGAGGAGGTGATATCTAAATGAGGAACTTAAATGCTTCAATCATAAGTATTTGGGCTGTGAATCTCAGCTGGACACTAGTGCCTGACTGTGCAGCAGTTCTGTGCTTTACTCAAAGCCAGTACTTTGGGCATAATCTTCTGTTTCGTGACTAAAGTGCTTTGTACCTTTCACCTTGCCACACGGTATGCTGAGCATTATAATGTCTGTTGTTATACACCAAGATCCCCCTTGCACACTGATGATAGGCTCATACAATATAGGCTCCTCACTCAACATTGCAGATTTCACTTTGGGACCTGAGCAACAGGTTGTGCAGCACTGCAAAATGTATACTCCTTTTGGAATCTTGGTCTTAAATCCCTCTCTGAAAATCGAGAGACAAAGTAGTTTATACTCTCAGGATATTATTTAGAGGATTTAGCCGTTAGCAGTAGAAATGCCTCAACTCAGAAATGCACATCTGTGTATCTGTCCCCTCTAAAAGTGTCTCTTTGCACTTGTCCTTTTAAAACAAGGTTGGAACCAAGATCTAACACAACAAGCTCTTGCTTATTTTCCTGTTTTTCTATGTAACTGGGAACGGTTCCTCAGAAATATACCTTTAACCGTGTGACTTGTAATGGTCAGAGTACGTATTGGAAACTACAGTTTGGCAAGATTATGGTGTAGCAGTGCTGTTTTCTAGAAGTGTGATATCACGTTGCTCGGGACCAGCTAACTTTCTGAATTTGTCCCTTGTTTTTATCCTCCATACTGAAGCTGCCTCCAGAGAAAACTGCGGGTCTTGTTTGTAAAGATACAGCTGCAACTTGAACTCAATGAGAGTTAGCACTGAATGAACAGCTACTTAATGTTTTGTTTTATTCTCCTTTTTGGTTTTGTGCACTCTTGCTACTTTCTTTTGCCTTTTCTCATGTAAATAAAAGATAATTAATTTTCCTGTGGGCTGCTTTTGTGATTCTGACTTCCATAATATTTGCTTTGCAAACATGATTGACTTATCCACAAAAGGTACTCGTTGCTGTGAAGAGGTCAAGGAGGCAGGGACCAAATACATCCAAAATTTTTTATTGTCCTGTTGAGGGCGCCTAAGACTTGCCGCTAAGCAGTATTTTGTCCTTTGAAGGTGTGAAGCCCAGCGCCCAGAGAGTACGTTATGGCTGTCAGGGCTCAACAGTTTTCTCAGTCAGACAAGGTCACAGTCTGGAAATCCAGAAAATAAAAAACATACCATCAGTGACTAGCTGAGAAAATTTTATTTATAGCTGTTATCCAGCACCGTATAGGAGTTCTGTGGCAGAGGCAGGGTAGAAAACAGTGCGTCGGTTAGACCCTTTTTTCACTTTCCTGCTGTCCATTTATTCATATTCCTTCCCTTTTTATGCAAGAGTTGAAGGAGGGTGGACAAACAAACAGCTTTTTTTGTCTCTGAGAATGCATCTCCTCTTAGAGGAGAAAACTAGTATAAGAGCATCTAAACACTAAAGGTAGTACTGGGACGTGTAAGTGAGTTAATTTTCTATTTGTTTGTCTGTACCACAGTAGTGTTTGTTACTATTGTGAGAAGATGTGTGTATGTGAGGTTTTTTTTGTTTGAGTCGGGTCCAAACGCCCTTTTATAGTAAAATAGGTCTGACTCATCCCTTTCAAAGTCACCGGATAGTGGAGTGGGCAGTAAGCCCATGAGAGTGGCCAGGTGGTGGAGTCTGCCGTTTGTCTTGCTGATCCTGGGACAGTTTCAATGGAAAGAACCTCACTGCTTATCGCTTCCTCTTCCCTTCCAGGATGTACCACTAATAAGCCTAGCAAACATCTTCCACAATGCAAAACTCTGGAATGATGCCATCATCGTGGCTACCATGGCAGTGGAAATAGCACCCCACTTTGTCGTTAATCATTTCACGCTGGCAAATGTCTACGTAGCAATGGTGAGTGTGCTGTCACCCACTTACGTCGTGTCTTTGGTACACTGTGTGTGTATATATACACGTGTGTGTGTATAAATAAATTTTAAAAACTTATTTTCACAAATAATTTTGGAGGAGCAGCATTCAAGAAATTGGGGTAGGATCAGCAAGAGAGAATATTTTTTGAATGCCAAAGCTCTTATTACTCATTTAGTAAGCTGGCAGAATGCTGTCTGCAAAGCTTTAGAACAGTAGCAAACAAGCGATGATTTTGGTTGGCTGCCTGTCTAAACATGGGATATTTTTATAATACTGGAAAATTAATGATAAATTGGGTCTCTATCCTGAAGAGCTGAGCTTAGCATAGTAAGTAAAACCCAGTTCACAGTTGCAGTGAACAAACACAAGGGAAGTTTAATTTCAGTATCTGCATTATCAACACCCAAAATAATTCACAGATTGAACTCAAATTTCTTCACACTGTGTGTATATTCTAATCTGCAATTTAGCTTTCAGTGCTTACTCTGAACACAAAATGTTCATTCCTTTTATCTTACTGATGCTGGATTGGTTCTTGTGTGTTTCCTCCTCATCTTTAACGGGGCCTGTATATTTGAAGGGTGAAGAGGCACCGTGAAACTGAGACATAGTTGATATATATGTCTGTATCGGAAGTATTTTCAATTACACATGTTCCTATGCATCCCTGCCAGTTTTCAGCACTTGTCATGGGTTTGTCCTTAATGTTTTGCTCCTGTGGTCGAGGGGATCATGGAGACAACAGGGCAAGTTGAGCAGGTAATCGTGTATTATGGCTATCAGCGTTGAGAAGAGTTGAAATGCGCAGTACTGTCAAACGCACAATGGAACCAAAGTGAAGAAAGTCATGACTTTGTTCGATTAAGGTATTACTTCTGACAGTTGTTTGAAGGAAATGAAGTAGAATTTTGATGCTTGAGTTGCCAATGTCTTTTTAAAGTTAGCACAGTGCCTATGAATAACTTAATTCTCCCTGGATCCGAGAGATACCTCAATGAAGCCCCATATTCATTATACGAAATGACAGTGGCAACATGACAAAATTTATCTTCTGGATAAAATTGTACTAACATAAAGACAAGTTAGTTTTTACGTCGTATTTAACCTGCTGTATTTGAGAGCTGACTGTAACCAACAGGTTGTAGATGATGTCATGCTAATTAATAGGATAGCATTATAGAGGCCAACATTCCTTTATTTGCAAAACTTTTTAGTAAGTTGCCTTACAAAGGGGCCATGTTAAGGACTGAGAATTTTGTATGGATGCTGTAGAAAACTGTTGATGTGAGAATTTAGGGAACATCAGAATAATATCAGATCACAGCAAACATGAATGATTACATCTAAATAATGTAAAAATCTAATTCTTGTTGTCATTATTGTTTATCAGTGCTCCCACAAACTAATATGGGATTTTCTGTGTAATTCCAGGTGAAACTGTATTAAAATACACTTTTTTTAAAAGTCAAGACTTTACAACTCGCATTGATCTAGTTAGCGTTTATAATGTGGCTAGGAATAAATATTATCTCTACTGTACAAAAAAAGTTACCAAGAAAGGAACTTGAGAGAACAAGAACAGTGTTGAAAGTGACTGAAAAACCCAGAATATTTTGGGCCTTTTCCCCTCTCATTTTTCTTCTAATCCACTATTGGGTGTTGGCGTGCTTTCCTAGTTACTAAAAAAGTGGGGTGGCATAGGTAATTAGATCTCAGGTATTTTTCTAGACCTAGAAAAAATCGATGTTATTTCAGCAGGCGAGGGGGGGGCGTTGCTGGTTTTTGTTTGGTTGGGTTTTTTACTTTCTTTACTTTGAGTAATGTTTTGAAAATAATTTCAAGTTGTTTCTAAAAATGTAGGCTTCTCAGCAAAGCTGATGTGTTTGCATCGTCCAAGATTTTAAAGCTTTGAATTCTGACTGCAACCTGGTTTTAAAAGTTACTTTTACAACAAGAATGCCAAGGTCTTGTATTAAAAGGAGAAGGCAAGGATATTGGTCAATAATGCTCAGCAGTGATTGGAGCACTGGACCAGGCTGCCCAGGGAGGTTGTGGAGTCTCCTTCTCTGGAGATATTCAAGACCTGCCTGGACAAGGTCCTGTGCAGCCTGCTGTAGGTGACCCTGCTTCAGCAGGGGGGCTGGGCTAGATGACCCACAGAGGTCCCTTCCAACCCCTACCATTCTGTGATTCTGTGTGATTCTGACTCCCTTCCATAGAACATGCAGAAATGGATCATTAGCCTAAAAAAATATCAGTTATTGAGGGGAGGATGCTAAACCACAAGGACTGGTTCACTTACTTTTGTGCATACCATACTACTCAACTACTTAGGACAGGGAAGGCACAGAAGATGTGTTTACTGGTTTTTAGGATCTGACTCTTTTGCAATCTTCTTTCTTTCTTTCTAGGAAGAGTTTGAAAAGGCGATGAAATGGTATGAGTCAACACTAAAACTTCAGCCGGAGTTTGCCCCAGCAAAGAATCGAATCCACACCATTCAGTGTCATTTACTTATGAAAAAAGAGCGACGGTCTCCTTAGAGATCAGCATCTCTCTCTTTTTTTTAAAAAATGTCATTATTCTCTATTCTGCTTTTAAGTGTGCTAAGATAAATTGATGAATCGAAATTTTTAACAAGACTTTTGAAAAGAGATAGGATTTGGATCGAGGGTTCTTTTGGTTTTTTTTTCTCAAATATAGGAGCATCTCTGGAAAGTGTATTTCACAGACCATAATTTTAAAACATCCGTGTAAATATTAAACCAATAAACTTCCATGAGTACATGACCACCTGTACCAGGACCCAGGCACTGTTAGTTTTTCCTTAATGCTCAGATTGGCGTCAGCATCCAAAATACCTTGCTTCATGTCTTATGGTCTAAGTCAATGGAAATGCAAAGCACACACCCGTACCAAATAATAAGAAGAGATAATCAGTAGCTGATCCATGTGAAACTCATGCTTTGTCCAGTCTTGTTCACTCCGTACCGCATTACCTGCTTTTTTGGAAGGAGAGGGACAGGATTTTAAAAGTTTATTAAAAAAAAAAAATAATCTAGGAACATCAAACATTTTTTGGAATTGTTTATTTCTGTTGGGGACAAGGAGGAAATGAGGAGGAGGGAACAGCAGGACGCTAAAGTTAAAGTGGTTTTTAATCTTACTCGCAGAAAAAAAAATCGCTAAAAATCCCAATAAGATGTTTTATATCTGTCTATATATTCATAGCCCTCTGCCTCCCTGAATGGTTGATTTACTGATTCTTTGTTCACTGTATTTTTAGCCATTTCAGAATAAGGTGCAAGTTTATGCTCGCTCTGAGCCATACTTCCAGCTGCCGAGGAGGAGGGAGGCAGTGTCAAGGTATCATCAGCAAATAAGTCAGGTGGAAGATCTCCAAATCGGTTCTCTCTTTGGTTGGTGGAGGACATGGTTCTCCAGACATCATTGTTGAATCAACAAGGGCACATATTTGAAATAAAATACATTGTTTATGAACAAAACACAGCTTCTCCTCTAATCTTTGTGTCAACGCGCCATTTGCAAAAGGCTGGGCTTGGGGAGCTACAGGCTTGCCGCAGGAGCAGACAGAGCTGGGAGGCAGGAAAGCCTTTACCACTCCTGGTTAGACAACGGTTTTCTACGTATCTGTGGAAAATTCCCTGCACCTCTGTGTCTGACTGCTTTGCCATGGCAGAATGGAAGAAGGGAAACTTAACTAAATCAGCTGCCTGTCATGTAACCTACTCCCCAGCTTTTAGTGTTAAACATACTAAACATACTGCTTCATGATTCTTTTCAAAGAGCTAACAGTGTTTATGCACTTGCTGGGGGGGGGGTGTCAAACTTATTTGTTATGCAGATTAAGAGCAGCAAATATGACAGTGGTGGAAACTGTGATGTCAACATAATTTTTTTTTAATACTGTAAATTTTACTTCATAAAAGGATCCTTGACTATTTTTATATGTAATTGAAGATGAGTAGTTCTAATGCAAATTTTCCCTCTTTTTTACTGCAAGTGATTTTTGTTCATCTGGAAAGCCTGACAGAGGTATGAGCAAGTTGCTACTGTTGGGTAGATTTTTATAAAAGATGGGTGAATGTGTTAAATTTTTGTGAACCAAGCCTTCCCCTCCCAAGGCTACTTGGAAGGTTGGACGTTGTTGACTGGAGATGGGCATAGCTACATCTGTATAAACTCCAAGAGGATGATCACCTCCTGGAAGGTCTGGTAACACCTCCACTAGGATCATGGACTGGATTCATGAATGACAGAGATCTCTCACACAGAGCTGCAGGAGGAGAAACCGGTAAGGCAGGTACGAGTAAATGGAAAGAAGTTTCATTTGAGCTAGAAAAAAGTTAGGGCAAAGGCTTTTCCTTGGGCTAAAGCAATGCGTGGAGAGGCTGCTTACATTCAGTTTCGTTAACTGAGCTGCTTTGCTTTTATAGTGGTTGATAAGTACTTGGGAGTCACTTAAATGTAGCTGGTAAATCTTCCATTTCATGTGCTAGTTTTAAGATGTAATATGCAAAAACGTCCCCTGGTACAGAGGATCCACCTTACTACTTGGTTCCCTAACGCGTCACATGGTCAAATCAAGTGATTGCCACACGCTGAACTCTTTTCTGCTGCATCTGTCTCACTGATGATGAGAGGTGCCGGGATTTAAGGGAAGAGTAAGGCTGGTCCGTAAGAACCTAAAGCAGCAATATGTGGAGCACAGATGGTCATCCTTGGCTTTGACGAAAGATGGAATTAAAACAGACCTTTTCTGGATCACCCAGGATTATGCTCAGAGACAGCACTGATGGGCACTTAAAATTAGCCATTAATACTCCTGTCACTTTACATCTTGCTTGCTAGTGTATTTTTTTTTTATTAAGAAATGCAGCAAGGTGCACTGTATACCGACATCATACAAAAGGCAGGAACGCGAAGTTTTTTGTGCATGAACATACTGTAAATTGGTATTGCCACCAAGGAGACAGCAGGCTTTCGGTCTTCTTACTCTGCATTTCCAGAGAACTTGCACCTTATGATGCACCTTGTAAATATTTCTTGAAAAATACAGTAGTCTGACTTTGTGTAGTTCTTTTCTGAATCTTGGTTAAGTAGTTCAAGAGAGTGTGTACTGCCTTACGCTCCTAAAATTTGTATGTACAGCTGTTCATTTGCTACTCGGCTACTGTATGCTGTATCTGCCATACAACTAATTTTAAAATAGCCCATGCTTCCCTCTTAACTGTATTTTCACAAATTTTAGGTAATTTCTCTAAGGGTGCTGCATAAGCAGTACACAAAACTGAAGCATGGAAGCAAAAAGATCTGCTCAAGAGCATAAACTTGACCTAACGCCAGCAACAGAGCATCTGTCCTAAAGATTTCACCCATAGATGAATCTGCTGCAGAATGCTGCCTCCCACCCTGGAGAAGGCGAGTGGAAGAGTCTCCTTTCTCAGCTCCATGTCTTCAGGCCCCCTGTATCAGTGCAAAGAATGGTGGTTTTCAGTGGTTTGACTGTTCAAATGCGAGCCAAAAAAAACCAGATTATGCTGATCTTATGAGCAGAAGACAGGTTGGGCAGCGTGTCTGAAGGGAAGCCAGTGAATTTTGTGGAGCAAAGGTGCACCTCTGCAGGGTGAGCTAGCTGTTTAAGGATGACATTCCTCTCCTTCCACTTAAGCTATTTTAAAATAAGCTAAGGTAGTTGTCTAAGCTCTATCTTCAGTAAATGGAAAAGATTGCTATCTTGAGAGGGTGATCTGCCCTTCCTGTTGTAAAGCATGACAGCTTGCCTGTTTGAACTGCCTGTTCCTTGCCATTGACTGTTGAGGTACCTTGGACCAAATGAACTTCACTACGACTTCTAATAATGAGACTTAGTAACTCATTTCATATTGACTGGCTCTGCTAAATGCATCACTAAGTAGTCTAATTTAGGGATGACATAACCATAGGTAAATGGCAAATTCCTCTCTTCTCCAGAAAAGTTATTTTTCCAGTTGTTCTCAGAGCATACCCAGAAATGAAGTAAAGATGGGCAAAAAAAGTCTCCATTTGTTTGAAGACAGCATCTTGCTCCTGACAGTCAAGGGCTTTTTTGGGCAAAAGCTGCAGGAGGAGAATCAGATACTTCCATCTATGGGGCAGTGACTTTGGTTCACCGTTGATCGCATACTTGTACTGGTCCAGGGCTGCGCTGATGCCATACAAAAAAGTAAACCCCAAAATACCATGCTGGCACCTTCAAACAACAGATTTTATAATGCAGTGGAGGCTGGAACCCTAATTTCCTTCGGCTGTGGACACCTTGCATCACCTATGATGACTAGTTATAATAACAGACTGAAAATATTAATCAGAAATTTGATGGCGCTTGCACCCTTCTTTCCCTGCTCTCTAACCTTCCCTCCTTCCCTTTCACAGAAAAAGGAATAAAAACAAGCACAAAATCCATCACATCTCCCTAACAATTGCGTGATGTAGCCGAAGATGCTGTGTCGGCTCTCTTGCAGTATGGTGATACTGAAACTTCTGCTTCTTGCAGTTTTCAGCAGCTGCCATGAGCTTCTCTGGGTAGCAATTTCGGACCTCCTGGGTTTGGACCTGCTTCGTGAATAGTAACCTTCCCCTCCCTGTTGCTGTCCTCCTGTATGACCTCAGGCAAGGCGTGTCCCCTCCTCCCTGTACCTCTCTTCCTCCCACATGTTGTCAGATGTCTTTTTAGAACATATGGGGGGTTTTGGATGCTGGAATCCTTGCTGTTTATGTCTTTGCGTGAGAAACAGCTGTAGTGCCAGAGAATACAAATAGTAGCAATGCAAATTAAAAACAACTGTGTGGAGACCTATGAAGCGGGTAATAAGAAGAGTTTAATAGTATCTGTATCAGCACTGAAAGAGTGAAAAAGCTTAAGAACTTCCCTTGGCATTAAGAAAGACGGAAGCTCCTGCTTTTCTCCGGAGGTACTGGCTGTTGTGTGGCAGGTTCAGGGTGGCCCTCCCATCTCAAGCATCACTTAGAGGTGTTCTTCTGGAGCGCTGCAGGTTGCCTTGATATCTTAGAGGACCAGGTGGCCATGTTTGGGTCAGCAAGACTCTCTCGAATGAGATGTCCCCAGACAGTAAGGTTTGTCACTTGCAGGGGTTGCTTTTGTTGATTTTTTTTTTTTTTCCCTCTTAAATTGCTGAATATACTCAAATGTGCCACTATTGATTCAAACAAAGCAGATGGGTCTATGAACACTGAGGCTTATGAAGCTTTTCTATCAATTTGTGGTCTTCTCACTGAAGTCTGATGGCTGGTCACCTGTGAGAGCCAGCAGAAGGTTGTCCTGCAAATGACTACCAGGAAAGGACAGGCAGTGAGATTAAAGGCAATTTATTTTCATTATTATTTTTAGGGAACCTGCACAAGAGTGATACAACCTATATTCCATACATATAATGTTAAGAAAGTCTGAATTAAATGAGAGGGTTCTCATACCTTAAGCTTTTGTCATTTTGAAGTATTGAAAAGCTCAGGATTGATTAGGCTCGGGCTGGAGTACCTCTCCTACGAGGACAGGCTGAGGGAGGTGGGGCTGTTCAGCCTGGAGAAGTGAAGGCTCCGGGGTGACCTTAGAGCGGCCTTCCAGTACCTGAAGGGGCCTACAGGAAGGATGGAGGGGGACTTTTCACAAGGGTGTGTAGTGATAGGACAAGGGGCAACACCTCTAAACTAAAAGAGGGCAGATTTGGATTAGATATTAAGAAGAAATTCTTCACCATGAGGGTGGTGAAACACTGGCCCAGGTTGCCCAGAGAAGCTGTGGCAGTGTTCAAGGCCAGGCTGGATGGAGCTCTGAGCAACCTGGTCTAGTGGAAGGGGTCCCTGCTGATGGCAGCGGGGTTGGAACCAGATGATCTTTAAGGTCCCTTCCAACCCTTACCATGCTATGATTAGGAACAGTGTTTTGATAAGGCTGGCTGTTTAAAAAAGCAGCCCCTCAAACTTTTGCAAAAGTAGTTGATTATTTTTTTTTTTAACCTTTCAAACCTAATGA